ATATAAGCACAATAATTCTATGGCAAATAACGATAACCATAAAACTCCAAATCCCTGTAATAAAGCCGAAGCCTCTCTCCCTAATGAAACAGTGGCCCTCCTGCTGTTTCCTGCCTAATGTTCCCGCCGAGGCTTCCTCCACTTTCCATAAAGCAATTTTGCAAGCCCACTCCCAACGTGAATCATCTCGAAACGAAGAGAAGCCTCTCCCTCCATCTCTCCTTGTGTCCCCGGAGGGTGACGCTGACTAAATCTGTGTTGATACAGAGGTGTGCTCTAAATCCTGTTTGCTCGGGTTCCATCTCTCCTAATATTCACACTCGCGCATGAGGCCCCTTCCCTGCCCGCATCTGCTAATGTAGCGTATCGTCGTCTGGATGACAAGACGACATCGACGAGCTCCTCACAATGTGTGGGAAGGAGAACATATGTTAAATTTAAGAAGCTGGGATTTACCTCTGCGTGGGTCTTAGTTTACATGCGCTACTCGACAACAAAGGACGAATCGCCGTTCTGTACGGTTTACGTTGTGGATGCACATGTAAGGTGTTATATCTGAAAATATAGGCGGCTTTTGTGGAAGTCGCACTAAATACCATCTGCCGTGTCTTGAAATTCAAAGTAATTAAGAATATGTTTGGTAAATGAAAAACAACCTTTGTGAAATGCAATAAATGAGAGTTTGAACGGTGAGATTGAGTTTGTAAATTTGATTTGAATTTCCGTTAACATTTCCACAGTATGTAATTACAGTGTTTAAAAATAGGCTTGTTTTTTTTGTTGTGCGTGTAATCAATTAGATTTAATTTCTCCAGCACATGCCCTTCGTTTATTACCAATTAATGCCGTTTACCTATTAATTCTTCAAAAGAAAAACTTCAAACTGTGAAAAAAAAAAAGCTACAGTATTCTCACTCAGAGATTTGAATGCTTTTCTTGGCAAATCCCAAATTACTCAAAGATTTCTTGATTGACAGATGAGGGGGGATAACTGTATTTAGCCAGGGACCATCTTTCCTCGTCTGGTGTGATTTGGGTCTCATGGAGGATTGGCCCCCCTGGTGTCTGCCCCCCTCCTCCTCTCGGCACGGGGCAGGGGCAGATTGACAGAACAGCATGGGGGCAAGCGCCGCTGTGCCAACAGCCCCCCCACGCTCTACCTGATGTTTTTAACAAAGGCTTCCATCTCACCAATTCCGCTGCCGAACATCGCCCAGCCAGCTTCAACCCACCCCGGCTCTGGAACAAACAGACTTTGAAACCTGATCGCAAGGATGTTGGGAACAGATGCACAGACGCTGGGAATGATGCGGCGTGTACGGCTGTCCTCAAAGATAAAATGTCAAACATTTCTCAGTTCGAGCCCAAGAAATTGGGCTGTTGTTATTGAGCAACTGCTTGTAATTCAAAGGAGGATATTGGTGGCTTCTATGATAATATAATGTAATAGAAGAGAAGCCACCAATACTGTATATATATAGTTTTATTTAGAGGGAGACAGGGGCTAGTTGTCACACTTTTTGACTTCAGTGAATATTTCTCAATGAAGGTTTAGTTTTGAATGTCAATTTCTGCACAGGAACAAACACTAAAATCTTTGTCAAACAAACACTGAAATCGCAAAAAAAAAAAAAACACATGTTGTCACTATGGGATAAGTTGCCACAATTAGAACCTACCCCAAATATATTCTATATTTTTTATATACATTAATTTAGCTGAAAAAGCTTTAATATATTTTATAATATATTAAATCTTTGTTATAGCTTTTTCAGAAAAAGAAATCATTTAAAAATGAAACAATTCATAAAAACGCAAAAATGTAAAAGAAAAAAAGAGTATTGTTTTGTTTCAACTTGGCTGAATACATATATATATATATGTATATTACTTGTGATATACTTGCACATAATTAGTTATACAACACAATTGAAAGCTGAAAAGATATGTTCAAATGTGTTGGAGAGGTACATTTATAATTATCGTATCTTGACTTTCAGTCCAACTTCATTAATAATGCACATTGTTCTTACTGACCCCCTTCCAAGCCATCATCAATCACTGGAAAATTTCACTGACTTTCCAAAGGGACAATGCGAAAGGAGCACACACCGTCTGACGCACATTTCTTGGAGGTGTTCCCCCATTTTGATGAATTTCCGGCCTAGGCACCCAGCATCCCTGCTGTATGTGTGGCTGCATCTCCTCCTTCCTCCTGTCAACATGATCCTGCGCACAATCAGTCGCAGAGCGCACACTCGCCGGGTACCTTTCCGCTCCTCGCCACGTCCTCTGGCCTCATCTGCTCCGTCTGTTTTATTTGCGAGCAACAGAACATATACAATTACATGTCACAAATTCAAAATGATCTTTAATTCCTATCACTCTTGTATTGTTGCAGGGAAAATGGATCAATCTCGGGTTTTTTTTTAAAGTCTTTCAGACAGTGAGAGTTATTAGTAGTTCACATAGTAAAGCTACTTTGTTGACTTGCCAGGCTTTTTACGGGCAAAAACAAGGTATATTGAACAAAACAACCATAAGCATTATATGCATTTTACTTTTGCTTATGGTCTCATAGTTTGTCAGCATGAAAATATCTTTCATTGAAGATATCTAGAATATTATTTTGATACAAAGTTAGTTATAATCCCAGACTCTGCCCTGTAATCAATACAAATACATTTTTCAGGCCCGCAAGTGAGTGCAGCCAATGATAAATATTGGCAGACAAGAAAAATTTGTCATTTTTGTCGATTGAAGGGAACATAATGATATTCACAAGGAGACCCCCACTGCGATGCAGACACAACTGTTCCTAAGCAACAAAACACTTTCCCCCCCTCCAAATGCAGACAGGGTTTTGGTTGACTGTTTGCAGCCACAAATATTCAGACCTCCAATGTAGTGATGAGGGTAAACACAACTGTACAGACTTCTGTACTTAAATTGACACATTTAGCTCCTGGTTGTTATACTATAAGTATCTATAAGCAATGTTGGGGGTAACTCATTACAAGTAACACGAGTTATGTAATCAGATTACGTTTTTCAAAGAACTAGTAAAGTAACGCATTACTTTTAAATTTACAACAAAATGTTTTGAGTGTTATTTTTTTAAATAAGTAACACAAGTTGTTGTCTGCATAGGAAGGATCATTTCACTTTTGGTGTGAAAGGGATACGGTATATTTGTTATTAAAAACACACAAGCAAGCCCAGCCCAGGTGAGAAAAAGTAACGCAAAAGTAACGTATAGCACTACTTTCCGTGAAAAGCAACTTTACTTTTTAGGTAATATTGTAATGTATTACTTTTAAAAGTAACTTTCCTCAACACTGTTTATAAGTAATTATATACATATAATAAATACAAAAAAGCAATTTAAACATAATTGTATTATGCTAGGTAAGAAAATGCATTTAATTTGCATTGTTTTATTCATTGTGGCATTGCTGTATAATCCTAATCCTAGACAATATTAGACTGAATAAAGGTTTATATTTTAATTATATATTAAGACTGAAATAAACATGTCTAGAAAACAGAGCAATTCATACATGCTGCTGAATTTGTTATTTTATTATATTATTAATAGGCATGCTTTATTGATCCAAAGGTGCAAATATAGTTGAACACTGCACAAAAAAAAAATTTGCATGTTGATATTTATACAAGTTTGCAATAGTAGTATATTATTTAGGTCTAACTGTTCAACATACTGTACATAAATGTTTGTACAGAATTTGGTCAACTCGGTTTTCTCAATTTCAGTGGTTGTGGAGGGGTTCTTGAAGGAAAAGACTCGAAATGTCTTATATTGCTTGGGTAGGAGTGCCATCTAGTGATGCATTCAGTAACCTGCCAGTCTTGAAAACATTGTGGCTTTAAAAAGTATACACTACTGGTCAAAATTTTGGGGTCAGTAAGATTTTATTAAAATTTTCTTAGAAATTAATACTTTTATTCAGCAAGGATGCATTAAATGAATCAAAAGTAACAGTAAAGACTCACATTATTATAAAATAATAATTATTTTGAAATTTAAAAAAAGAAAAGAAAAAAGTATCATGGTGTTCACAAAAATAAAAGCACAACAGATTTAAATGTTGATAATTGTTAGAAATTAGCATATTATAATTATTTCTGAAGGATCATGTGACACTGAAGACTGCTTTGCCATTACAGGAATAAATTACATTTTATAAAATATATTAAAATACAAAACGGTTACTTTAAATTGTAATCATTTCACAATACTGTTGTTTTTATTGTATTTTTTAAATAAAATAAATGCTGCTTTGGTGACTTATTTCAAAAACATTTCATATTTTAAAAAAATACAGACACTAAACTTTTTAAATACAGTGTATATTAAAGTATATAGATTATTTTTTATTGAGTAACCATTTTAGGTAAACTAAGCCAATGTACAATAAAATGTTGTCATAAATATAATGTACAATTAATTTTGGCCTTGAAACATGCCATGAACAATGTAATCTATACTGCATATTACATATGATAATTTTTTTGTAACGCAATATTTACATTGTCAGAGAAGGTTATGTTCAATTTTAATCTACTGCATATTACATATGATTACTTTTTTGTAACGCAATATTTACATTTAAGGTCAGAGAAGGTTATGTTCAATTTTCATATCTCTGATCACTGATGTTCGCCTATTTTAGTAGCTGAATTTGATACTGACACTCTTACAGAACCAAAGAGCTGATGTTTTAAAAGTTTGTGCTGATCAACAGATTCATAAACAGTTTCCACTCCGGGGCCCATCCATATTACAGACAGCCAATATTTCTGCCTAACCTCATGCACCTGTGCTTTGTCATACACGATCTTGTCCTTTGCAGCTGTACATCTATTGTCGTTCCGCTTGACTTGCTGTAAATAACATGGTTTATTGTTTATCTGCATCTTCTGCTGCCGATTATCATATTATTCTTCATGGCTTGGAAAATAAAATTGCCTATTGTAAACTGGACTCTTGCACTCTTTGTGGAACTTCTGATTTGTATCATTATATTATTTAGTATTATATTATTCTGATCGAGAAAGGAGAAACTAGAGCTAAGGAGTATGTTAATTTATTATCATATTAAGGCAACTAAAGTGCAGTATTTTGTTTATTTTACTAATGAAATTAATTATGTGCTATGTAAAAGGGTCTGTTAATTATCTATCATTTGTAACATTATCCTTTGAAAGCAGAGGACCAATCAGAGCAATCATGACCTGATGGACATACTTTGCACAAATGAACTTCCAATTAACAGCTTCATTCTACCAAGCTTTTATTTTATTATGATGTTTTTCGCATGTTAAATGCACAAGTAGATACACAGTGGAAGAAATGAGTTTTTCCATTTGATTTGCATTGTATTTATTAATTGCAGCATTACTGCATACGGTAATTATTATTCATAATCATGGTCTGTATATTAAAGATTCAGATTTTAAATGAACATTAAGACTGAAATAAAACTCTCTAGAACAAAAAAAAACAACAGAAGTTATACTTGCTGATGAAACCCAGGGCACAAAAACGTCCACGTTTATTACGCTTCAGGATTATTTTTGAGAAGGTACTCAGCCTGAAATATACAAACGACAAACGGAGAGAATTTTACAACAATTTTTCCAGAAAATACCTTCAATTAAACTAATAAGGAGCAGCTGTTATTAGGAGGACCAACCTACCAGGAAGTCTATGGGGTCATCAGGACGTATTGTACAGCATTGGATGAGGCCTTGGGTGAGAGTGGGCATCACATCCCTCATCAGGTAGTTCCTGAAAGGCTCTGACTGAGATTCCAACAAGTCATGTTCTTGTCTCCTCACCTCCTCAAGACTCTGATTCTTAAAACACACACCAAAATCTCATTGATGAGCTGCTAGCCTAACATATTTTCCTGCAATAGCAAAACATTAAATGGCAAAGAAAAAACAAACAAACTAATTTTAAATGGCAAAAATTAGTGCAAGTCAAAGATTTTAAAAATGAAGGACCAGATCTTTTAAAGAGGACACATCTAATAAAAACACAGATGGGAGATTAAAGTTCTGCGTGTGATTTACTGACAGTGTGCAAATTCAATGTCATGTCAGGCACAAAAACGGGTAAGACGTGCCTTTTTTGGGCGGTAAATAATGGCACAAATACCACTAAGTTGACTTAATAAACCGCTAGTGGGATGCCTAAATCTACTTCATTACAATTAAATCCTAATCTAATCATGACAAACTATATCGTTGGAAAGGTCTAAGACTCCTAAATAGATATTTTAGCACTGTTTTTTGTTAAAAATTATGTAGGAACAGTACACCTCAAAGTGCACCTCAAAAAAATCTACATCATACCAGGAGTTCTGACCTTTGTCACAAAAAGTCGCCGCACACACTTTTTATAATTGAAACTTTGGTTTTCATGCTAAAAGTTCATAATAAAACTTCTGTCAGGACCACTATCGTCAAATACGAATGACAATTAGCATACAGTTTGGTATGGTTCTGTTCTGGGCAAGATCTCCCTGCGCATCCATGCCGCCTATAGCAAGGATAAGAGCAGGGAGAGCAGCAATAACCCCCCTATAGGGTAAACAGAACAGAACCAACATGAATGTATTGCAGATATCATTAATTCAAGATTTTAAAATACAACATAATTTGAGAATTTATTTTGATTCAAGGGGAATCAGAATACCAAATCCTGACTGAAGAGAGGAGGAGCTGGGGATGGAGGAGGGTAATTAGCTCCTGAGAAATGCAATAGCTGCTGATAATACTGAAGGAGCTTAAATATGTATAGTGATAGGCGTCGTATTCCTATAGGTAGACGTGGATCAGCTGAGAGTCAGCTGATGCGAGCTTGACTAAAGTGACCTGTCAGTACTGACGCTACGCTTGATATATAATCTAGTATTTGTCAATAAAAAAATATAAAATAACATTATCCTCTAAAAAGTATAATATATATATATTATCCTCTAAAATATAATATCTTTTTTTATCGCCTTTTTATTACATCACATATTTTAGTAGTTATCATAAATTAGGTATCATTTGAAAGCTTACGAACTCAGAATAGGCTCTATGCACGATCGCTTCCGCGTTTTGTCTCAGCCCGCCCAGTTACATCCGGTGCTGCGTCAGAAGCCGTTTTTTTGCATTATTGGAGATAATGGCAAATTACACTCGCTGTTTACAAAAACGTCCCGCGGTTAACGTAAATGATGTTTACAATATTGTTAGGCAGTTAGCTGTCACACATAAGAGTAAGAAAGAGAAGGGTTAAAAATGATATTTTTCGAGCTACATCGACAACTTTGAGGGTGAGTATTCTCTCATATCATGTGAAATCCGACTAGCGAATCAGTTTCTAAAATCGTTGTCTCTTTTCTGAGAAAATGAATTTTATTAAAGTTTTGCAGCTATACACTTAACGCTATGCGGAAGTAAGGACGCGGGCTGAGATTCTACCGGAAATACGTCAGCAGCGTTCGTGCATAGAGCCTATTCATTCTGTGAAACCCGTTTTTTTTTTTTATTGGACGTTGCGTTACCATAGAAACGGTACTCTAAATTCTGTTATCGGGCTCCTCCCCTTTTGGGCGTCATCATGTTTCATAATTTATGATCAAAACCTTTTCTAATCTTGACAAAACACACATTGTCAGAAAGGTCTAAGTCTCAAGGTTCCATATTTTGTGACAGAAGGGATATTTGGACAGAAATTTATAATAATTTGTTACAGCAGAATGCATTCTATTGAATTCAATGGAATGTATGTCACCCGGTGGCTATTTTTGGTATTACACCTACACAAAATCTCATGGGAACTCGATTTTTGTGATATCAACTTCAAATTTGGAACACAACTTGGTTAGATATATGGCTTTGATTTTATAGTAATTTTATAGTAAAAAAGTATTTTGTAAAATATATATTTTATATAAAATAAAAAAAAATTAAGTACAGTATATTTGATTTACTGTAAATTTAAACTTCCATAACTTTTTCATACTTTCATTTTTTAAGTGCTTTCACTTCAGCAATAATCTGCATTTTCTTTAAAGCAAGACCAAACTTAGGTCTATCCAAAGCATTCTTGAATTACAACCATTTAAGTTTGAATAGTGCATTTGAATGTCTATTCTCAAAAAGTTAAGGGGTACTCTTCACCCATAAATTTAGCGGTCTGACAGGGAAACTCCAACAAATGCATATGCAATAAGGTCAGATGCAAAAATAACCCTTTCATCGCTAATTTTTTCACTGTGTGTCTTTAATAAATCCTGAGAGTAGTTTTTTAACGCCAAAAGAGGGTTTGCGCTGGCGTTGCCCTTAATCTTAAATTCCTTTTAAAAAATATAGCGTCATGTGCTTACCCACTCCCCCCAACGCTGATCTCTCTGTTGGGCCTCTTCTTCCTCCCGCCGCTCTGCCTCGGCCCTTTGTGCCGCCTGTTTCTTTAGCTGCTGTTCAGCTTGCTGTCGCTCTTCTTCCTCCACCTCCTCTGAGATCGGCCTGTAGTTCTTCGGTTTGCCCACTTTTTTGCAAATCTTCTCAGTGACCAGCAAGTACTCATTGTCATCATTGCTTGTAATCTCTGCAATAAAAGTAAATAAATTTAGACTGTTAGCCCACAGTTTTAATTAATTTAGATGCGAGATGCCAGTCAAAACTGTTGAAACGTCACAATACCACTCCTAAAGATAAGGTCACATTAGTGAAATTTTGTTGGCAAAAAGGTCTATTTTTATTGTCAATAGTGTAGCGATGTAAGGGTGTGTTCACACTTGTAGTTCGGTTGTCTTGGTTTTTTTGGTACGGACCAAAGAAAGAAAATGATACATCAAGTCCTGGTTCGTTTAGCATTCACAGTGTGGAGGCCATTTGAGTAAAGTGAACTCATTGTCATGTTCACGAAACCAGTTTGAGATGATTTGAGTTTTGTGATCCTGCTGGAAGTACTCGTCAGGTACCAGGCAACGTTTTTTCCAATCTTCTATTGTCCAATTTTAGTGAGCCTGTACAAATTGTAACCTCAGTTTCATGTTCTTAGCTGACAGGAGTGACAATAGTTCAAGGAATAGGAATAGTTAAAGGAATAGTTCACTTAAAAATGAAAAATTTGTCATCATTTACTCGCCCTCAAGTTACCTGTATGAATTTCTCTCTTCTGCTGAACACAAAGAAAGATATTTTGAAGAATATCAGTAACCAGTTGATGGACCCCATTGACTTCCATAGACTTTTTTTTTCCTACTATGGAAATCAATGGGGTCCATCAACTGTCTGTTTACCGACATTCTTCAAAATATCTTCTTTTGTGTTCAGCAGAAGAAAGAAATTCCTACAGGTTTGAAACAACTTGAGGGTAGGTAAATGATGTCAATTTTCTTTTTTAAGTTAACTATTCCTTTAATTGACTTCTGCTGGTGTAGCCCATCTGCTTTATCTCAGTGGATATTTTCTCTTTTTCAGACCATTCTCTGTAAACCCTAGAGATGGTTGTGCATGAAATTCCCAGTAGATCAGCAGTTTCTAAAATACACAAACTAGTTTGTCTGGCACCAACAGGCATGCTACGTTCAGTCACTAAAATCACCTTTCTTGCCTACTCTTCAGCAGATTGTTTTGACTATGTCTACATGCCTTAATGCATTAAGTTGCTGCCATGTGATTGGCTGATTAGATATTTGTGTTAACCTGCAGTTGAACAGGTGTACCTAATAAATTGGCCGGTGAGTGTGTATTCTTTTGCCTAAACAATGCTGTGTGTTGAGCTAAGTGAGCTTGTTGTTTGTGTGTACACATGATGGGAATTTTACCTGCTGAGAATTTACTAACAGCTTATAAACGAGCCAAAATAGCGGCCTGAAAAGGCGGGTCTCGGACTTCGGTCCGCTTGTTTGGTGCACACCAAGGTTTGGATGGCAACATTCACACTTATTCAAATGAACCGCACTTACAGAGCAATTGCACCAGAGTTAATTTTAATAAAACCAAAGTGTGAACAAATCCTATGAGTGCGTCTCACACACAAGTCACTTCCAAACCAAGCAGCTTTCTCTTGAACCCATTGCGAAATCTGTGTGTGGAAATCTTTCGCACTCATGCTAAATTCACGTGGATTCTTATTGAAATGACTGGATTTTCTTAGAACAGCTGTAAATGTGACCGTACCTTTATGCTTGGTGTGTATTAGCTAGCTCAACAGATGTAGTATTACTGCACTTCATTAAAACAGGATTTGGTTCACTCCTTCAATGTTACCTAAGTGCTCTGGATGAATCTCTAAGTCCTCAAAGAAGTTCAGCACTGTCTGATCCTCTACGTTTCTCTCTCTGAAACAGGCCAAGTGGAATGGGAACTGTTCAGGGGTGTAGGAAGTTCCCTCTACAACAGTCTCGGGTAGGTTCAGAACACGGTTTTTCAGGAAATCATCAGTGGCGTCAACAGAGAACACAAACTCTGGAGAACAGACAAATGATTGTTTCTCTAGAATCATATTTCAAAGTCACTTGTTACAGTATTTCTTTTAAATGAGTTGTGGGTATTCTGCTATTGAACATGTTCACAAAAGTTACCACTTTAATGTAAAGCTGAGCTAAAAAAATATAAGGTTTTTATTAAGCAAAGATACATTCAATTCATGTGTTAGTAAAGACATTTATCATGTTACAAAATTCTAAATTCTTTTGTTTCAAAATTCCAAAAATTCAAAATTCTTTTGTTTCAAATAAATGCTATTCTTTTAAACGTTCTAAAGACCCCTGAAAACATATGTATCACAGTTTTCACTAAAATATTAAGCAGCAAAACTGTTTTCAACATTGATAATAATAAGAAAAGTTTCAAATAACTATTAGAACGATTTCTGAAGAATCATGTGACACTGAAGACTGGAGTAACAGATGTGGAAAATTCAGTTTTGCCCTCACAGGAATACATGACATTTGAAAATATATTAAAATAGAAGATAGTTATTTAAAAATATATAATATTTCACAATATTACTAATTTTACTGTATTTTTGCTGTTTTACTGTATTCAGCCTTGGCGAGCATGAGATTTCTTTCAAAAACATTAAACTTTTGAACAGTACTGTAGTTAAATGAGTTCAAATCAGTCATGCAAGACTCAAATCTTAAGGCTAATAATTATGATGGAGAAGTCTGGGGGAAAAAAGGCATTTCTAATCTGCATTATACATTATATTAATAAATTACACACCTGGGATGATCTTTTTCTCGTGTTTAGATTGCAAGTCTTCAGGCTCTTCATCACCTGTTGAATATTTAAATAATCATGCAGCAAATCAAAACTCATGTATTATTAATCAGAATCATGATTTAATTTGTTCATATATCACCTAAAAAGGGCACATTTCTCACCAGTAAATAACAGCTTCGCCAGCTCATATGTCTTAGGGAAACCGTCCAAAACGAAGCCCTGGTTCATACAGGGTTTAGTCCTGAGTTTGTCCCTCATTATACGAATCACATATTGGTCATCCAGTCGTCCTAAAAAACAACAACAAAAACTTAATATATATAATTTCAATATAAAGCACCAATTTTTTTTTTTACAAATATACAACCTTCATTCTCATTCATGTTGTCCTTCAGAGTGTCCAGAAACTCCTGAGCTTCACCCTCATCATTTTCCATGTCCTCCGTTTGAATGTACGACTCCTGGTTAATTCAACTAAGCATCAGTATAAAATCTAAAAAATGTATATTTATTTTTCAATGTAGAAAAACAGAAAAGGTTACTGCAGGGAGCTGTTTATATCGACATTTTTTTTTTTTAAAATCAAATCTGAATTATTTGAACATGCTTTGCTGGTTCTGAATACATTCTGGGTGTGCATAACACTCACCAGGTTGTCTAATGTTTCAGTGATTGTCTCCTTAAGTTTAACATGATGAAGTTTGTAATGCTTGCATATCCTCTCTGCTATAGTGCTCTTTCCAACAGCAGGCGGTCCCAGGATGCAGATACGAAGGGGCTGGGACACACACAAACACAGGTGCTTGTACTGTGAAACTTTAGATTGAGCCAAAAAGCCCAACATAAAAGAAGTACCAAAAATAAACATATAACTAGAGAATTTCAACGTACCAACAATCCCCTGGTCTGCTTGTATTCTTCAGTGATCTGCTCAATGTTTTCAACCATGCCATATTCTGACACCCACTGGATGTTAAAATTCTCTTTCAGATACAGTGCTTCAATACGAAGGTTGACAAGCAAAGAATCAATATCTGTTTGCTGAAGAAAGTAAAAAAGATATCATAGTTGATACAAAACCAAAAATGTACAATATTGATAATCTTCTCTGTAGAATGTCAGAACAATATTGACATTGATTCTTACTGTCAGCTCCCGTATGAGATAAATCTCCTCTTTTGAAACATTCTGAGTTTTTCCTGGTCCAAGCACGAGTGTTATTGCCTTGAGGAAGAAGATTTCCTTGCATGACAACCATTAACTTATTTTTTTTAAATATTTATATATACTGAATGTGTAAAATCTCACCTTTATGATATCCTCCATTGTGTTTTTGGAGTCATCAACAGCAACAACGTATTGTGACTTTGGCTTGTGGTCAATGACATTTTGGATGATCCTTAATGAATATGAATCAAACGGATGTAAATGCCCGGTAATTTAGCTTTTGCATGGATGATGTCATAAAAAGCTCCACAATTATACTAACCCTGCCAGATCATTGATGTGAATAGTGGGGATAATATTGGAGCCATCACCAAAGATGGGCACCTCGGAGACTTCACCCACCCATGACATCTACATAGAGCAACGCAACACAACAAACTTTTTAACTTCAACATTTCAATTAGTAAAAAGTATTTACAAAAGTAATATTTTGTAAATGTCTGTCCACTATGATTTACCTTAAAAAACAAGTGAAACATGTGTTCTTCCATTCCATATTGTAGCCCTGATGCAACAACATATGTAGAGAACAGGGAGCTTTTCTGAAAATCATTCATAAATAAATATGAACTTCACACTTTTAAAGTCATGCTCACGTAAGGTGTTGAACATTTTACCATAATAGTGTGTACAATTGTTTAACATTGCATGACTTTTCAACTAAAATGGAAAAATTATTATCCCACAAGGTTTCTTGCTTACAGTTTTGCCTAATTTGACCACCAGTTTCTCCAATTCGATATGATCATGGAAGTTGGGGTGTGCTTTTCTTTTCCTGTAGTGCTCGTCTGTAAAAGGAATCTCTGGGTCATCCTATTGTGGAGTTAAAATATTCATCAATACAACCTTTTAATCAAGTTTACATGCTGATCAATAAAGTAGCCTACTTGATAATTGATAACAGTGTTCTTATTCCTACTTTATCGGCTGGTTTAGACATAGCCCACGTCATGATGGTTGACACCAGGATAAACATCTTGTGCCCAGAAAAAGTGTCCATTTCTTTATGAAGAGCTGTGATTGAATGATAATTTAACTAGCATCTGCTCAAGAAAAAGGTTCATAGCAGGAAGTAGCACATGGATTCAATAAAAATGTGATACCTGAGACAGCCCACTGTGCTTCAGCTATCTGATCAGCATGCTGAGTAATATCAAAAATGATCACATCACATTTCATCAGATGATGGAGAAGCTCTTCACGCTTCAAGTGCTGGTAGAGATGAAAAGGGATGTTATTAAAAAAAAAGTAAAAGTGACAGACTGTCACTGACAGTAGGTAAGTTACAACTTATGAAAGACATATCTTCTGCATAATGCTGTAGTACATAACGTTAGTTGATTTATTTACGCTGTACTCTTCAGAGATAAAACTGTGCTTCTCCTCTGTTTGGCTGGAAACTGTTCCCACAATTTGGAAGGTTGGATCTTTGATTTTTGGTTGCTCATCCTGCAGCCTGTCTCCTTCCTCCTCCACATCAGCCTCACCAAAGTCCACAAGAGATGCACCAACTACACACGAGTCTAAAAACTAAATACAGGATAATATAGTATAAACATAATAGCCCTAATTTCAAGCAGTGTCTTGATGTGACATGCTTTAATTCATCTGAAGCTAGCTAGCTAAAACTTAAAAGTTAACTTACCCAATCTTTCTAATTCCACTGTAACGTTATTGGGCCACGTTACCGGTTTCGACTATGTGAATTTTTTCACAGTCTACGGTGCAATTATGCAATATTATAAAAAGTAATAAATATGACTTACCTTTGCAATATTTTTCGTTGTGTAATTATCAACATTGTTGATAAAAACCCGTATGGATTTCGGCGGTCTCTCCTCAGTCTTGTCCGCCATCCTGTGTTGTTGTTGTCCTGTTGCTAGGAAACGGATGCATTCGCACTGTCTTCATAACTAAAATATAAAACTAAACGCATTGTGTGGGCGCTTAAAAGCCTCTATAAATAATATAACAAAACACACACACACACACATTATATATATATATATATATATATATATATAACCTTTTAACGTTAATTTCATTAAAAATGTATATATTTTTTTCGTATAAATGTGACTATGCTGTAAAAAAATATCTTGCATTGATTGTCATTTGCTGTCCATATTATTATAATAATAAATGTTGTTTGTTTGTCTGGTTTGAAAGTGAATGGTTCTACAACTGCATGCAAGGAAATCTTCTTCCTCAAAGCATCGTGCTCGGACCAGGAAAAACTTTCAGAAGAGGAGATTTATCTCATACGGGAGCTGACAGTAGAATCAATGTCAATTGTTCTGACATTCTACAGAGAATATTATCAAAATTTTATATTTGTGGTTTTGTATGAACTATGACATATTTTTTCCTTTATTCAGGAAACTTGATTCTTGCTTTTCAACCTTCATATTGAAGAATTTTAACATCCAGTGGGTGTTAGAATATGGCATGGTTGAAAACATTAAGCAGAGCAGATCACTGAATACAAGCAGACCAGGGGATTGTTGGTAGCTGAAATGCTCTAGTTATATTTTATTGGTATATTCACAATGAAGCACTGATATTGTGCATGATTGATCATGCTGGTCATTTGTGGTCATTATCTGGTCAAGCTAGATGATGAATCATCTGATTTACCCGCAGATGGGGAAGATCCTTAGTAGACACAATATTGTTAATTTTCAGAAATTCTGAATCACACAAGTGGTTTAAATTATAAATAATATATTATTATTATTATTAATAAGACACATTGGGTATGGCTGCATAACTGAAACCTTAAAAATGAAAAAAACTCATTAAATCTCTTCATAATCACATTAGTCAGATACAAGAAAATGTGTGTTTCCAGTCTGCTTGTTTACAGTGTCACAACAATGGCAAACCAAAAAAGATCAGGCTATAGCCTCTATAGCAAAATTATCAAACTGTGCAAGTTCAAAAGAACTAGTGCCTATGGCCGCCCATCCATGCCGTGGCTCCCAGAGCACTGCGTTCTTCCACAGGGCATAGCCATTGAGGTCTGCTGACGCATAGTTTCCCTAAAAACAGAGAAGATGGCCGATCAGCTGCATTTATTTATGAAAAAGTGCAAATCCAACAGTGCGGTGAAATGAGATTTAAGTCACAACAGGTAAGACTTAAATAAGAGGAAAAACTCAGAAATGAATATGTGTAGGAACATTCCTATATAAATATAACAAACCTTGACTGTAAGGGTCAGTGTATACCATACACGCGCTCTAGTTCCAGACAGTCCCTCAGCAAGAACTGTCATTCCACCTGTCAAACAAAGGTTTTGGATACATGACCAGGCCTAGTCAAACTTACAGCAGTAGGGGAAGAATACAACTTTTATTTTTCAGATACTCACTGAGGTCATTGGTGACTTTGTAGGTGCCATCTGCATACACCCAGAAAAAGATTCCCTTTGTACTTCGAATGACTCCTCCACCTTTATCCACTCTGACAGCAATGAAGACTCCACCAGTGTGCACAGCCTCCATGTACACGTCGCATGACACCATTAGGTCATGCCTGATAATCGTAAAATACATAGAGCTGTTAATAAGTCAAGTCACCTCAATTTAGCTTTATACATAGTTTCAAAGAAGCTTTACGGTGTGTGGCAAGCAGGGCGGGGCAGAGAGCCATGGGAAAGAAGTGAGGCCGGTGGCGTAAGTGTTAATGATCCCCACAGAGAAGCTCCGGAAGGATAAATTAAAAGGAGAAGTGACGACAGTGGAAGACAAGAAAGGACCAGGCCTCAGACTGATCTCATGAAATGGCGTATGTATGACACGCCAATTCGTATTTCCATTTTTGGCGTGCTATCAACACGCATAATCGCTTTTCAGCGTGTTTATCAACGCCTTTGACTTAACGTTACATTACTGTATATAATATATAAATATATGACCTACCCCAACCCCGTCCCTAAACCTACCCGTCACTGGGGTCAATACCATTTATGAGTCTTCCCCTACCATCCTAGGAAAAAAAATATTGCTCCACAGATGTAGATATTAATTTTGCTTCGTTTCGCTCGGACATTTAACGGCGTACACATACACGCGGAATCACTCGGACGTTTAACGGCGTAGACATACACGCAAAAGATGACGGTTCGTTTCGGTGTGGACATACACGAGGATAGCTCAAAATGCGTATAGATAACACGCCACTTGACTTGAAAGTGGCGTGTATGTTTACGCAAAGTCATGATGTCATGTTGAGGCCTGAGACATTTATGTTGTCTTGTATTATGTTTTTATGCGGCAGTCATTTGTGAGGGACTTTTCACTTTACTTTTTACTTTGTTATTTAAGTTTATTTCGTGAATATAGTTATGTTGAATGTTTGCAGGTGCACGCTTCCTCCTTCCCTGAACATTGTTAAACAGTAGCCCCTTTCACACAGCAATCCTGGTCAATTACAGCAACATTTTCAGAATTACTTTACCAGTAAATACACAAATATGCTGTTCACACAAGCATGGCGTTTTGGCTTTTTACCATTCAAACTTACCATTTTACCATTACTTTAAGAGACCATTTACACATCTGCTCCAAAATACCGGTGATGTCAGTCATCGGAAGTGATCTTTAAACGCCTGTTGTCTTAATCCACCCACACGAGGAGAAGCGCTTTAGTTTCACTATCTGTTCAATTTGACAACATTTTTTGATGTCTGAGTGAAAGGCATAAGGAGATGATCAAACAAAACAAGTTTTTGCTCTTAAAAACATGAGATGCGCATAATAGTCTCCAACTGCAAAGCTGCAACGCTGATGAATGGAAAAGGTGGCGGGGTCTCGAGCGCGACACGTTGAAAAAGCTGCAAGATGTGGCGCAACGCTCAAAGATGATCATCTTGTCGTGCATATTTAATTTTTTTTTTAAAGTATTAAAAAGCTTACTGTAAACAGCACTGAGTAATCACGTCATCTCTATAATAACTTTATGATTGGCCCAAAGCAGACTTCTTTCGTCAGCACGTTCTGACGTTGTACGTGATAATACCGGTAATCTTCATTCCGCGTTCACACAGAGCACAATTCCAGTAATTTACTGGTAATGTTACAACTTCCCTTACTGGTAAATTGCCGGAACCAATTTACCTGTATTTTATTTTATTTTTTTAAATAGTCCTGTTCACACATGATCTCTTACCTTACTGGTAATTTACCAATAAAGACTGTATGTGTGAAAGGGGCTAGTGATAAACAGGTAAATAATCATCAGTAATGCAAACAGAATTCAATTCTGCTGTAAAGCAGCTCTAAATAACTGAAGTCAGTTCAGTTCAATAACTGTGTAAAGTTCATCAATAAAATAGAATTACGTAAATTATCGTTTATTTCTAATATAAAGACAATTTTCTATTTATTATATTCTTAATGCACACAAGTATAGTAGCATTCAAAAGTTGAGCCAGTAACCTTTTTTTAAACAAGTCTATTATGCTCACCAAGGCTGCATTTATATGATAAAAAAAAAAAATACAGTAAAACAGTAATATTTTGAAATATTATTACCATTTAAAATAACTGTTTTCTATTTTATTATGTAATTTTTAGCAGGCATTACCATTTAATGTGTTTACTGTCTCTTTTGCACATTTTAATGCATCCTTGCTGAATAGAAGTAAATCTAACTGCCCCCATACTTTTGAACGGTAGTGTACATAATCAGGGCCGTGTGATCGCACTGGGCCCAGCTCTGGTCCGCTTTCTCTAACTCGTGCTGGGCCCCGCCCCATGCTTGGGACGGTCCTGTACATAATAGTCATAAAATCCTGACAAATGTTATGCAAACCATATTTAACACTGCTGCTCTCACCATTTATAATCACCAATAACACTTATTGTCTGATCAGCATCTGCAACCCAGGTCACCGGACGCTGAGTGACCACCTGTCGCAGAGTGAAAACATGAGGTCCAGGATCCGTCAGGTTCGTGAAGTATTCGAAGACCCCTGTCTGATCTGCAAAGTTTGGAGCCTCTGAGAAATATGGATTTCCAGCTGAGAGATAGGAAGCCAAAGTTCGAGTTGTTAGAGTTACACAGACTGTTGTGTGAAAAGTATGCAAAAAACAATTTTTAAAAAAAAGGGGGGAAAATTACAACAAAGCTACTTACTGACATCAAAATCATCTTTGTATTTTTTAGGAAAGGGAGAGGTGGGTGGAGGATCTGGGTAACTCCCTCTCTGACCGTTTGTTACAGTAGTAAATGTGTATACCTCGTCAACATCAAGCTCAATGCTGAAAGACCCCTCAATTACCTACAGCATTCACAATTCACACAGAAATATTACATTAGATGTCATTTTGTGAAACACACATCCGTTAATAATTATTCGAAAAACCAACTAACTGAACCTAGTGTTTTTTAAAGAGGTTATATCATGAGACAATTCCTTAATTTTCTTGATTTTGTGTATGTACTTACTTTAATAGGCTTGAGATTTTGGAAGAGGACTGTCTTGTTTGTCTTGAAATCAAACTTTGAATGCCACACCTGCAGCTCACTGATCGAAGCCTGTTAAAAAAAAAAAAGTTATTCCATATTACCATCAATTCATTTTGTCCATTATAAACTCATTTAAACCACATCAAACAGCACTTACAAAAGTCCCTTTCAGATGGAATGTTACATTCTGAACCGTGACATTATAAGGAAGCAGAGGAGGTCTTATACACACAGAGTGGTCATGGGTCTAAAAAAAAAAAAAGCCAGAAAAATAGAGTAATACGTTTACATACAATGCCATTAAGAGACAGAATGTACACTACCGTTCACAAGTTTGGGGTCAGTAAGATTTATTTTTTATTCAAAAGTGACAATAAAAACATTTACATTGTTCGAAAAGATTTTTATTTGAATTTCTATTCATCCACAAAATATTAATATATTGATAATAATAAGAAATGTTTCTTGAGCGACCAATCAGCATATTAGAATAATTTCTATACTAACACATCACGACTGGAGAAATTATGCTGAAAATCAGCTTTGCCATCACAGGAATACATTACATTTATATGTATAGTTAACTTAAAAGTATAATATATCACAATATTACAATTTTTTTTTTTACTGTATTTCTAATCAAATAGATGCACCCTTAGAGAGCAAAAGAGACTTTTAAAAAAACATTTAAACAAATCTTAACGAACTTTTGAACCAAAGTGTATGTTATGCTAATTGATTAGAAGGTCCATTTTTGAAAGTCTCACCATAGTTTCAGTGATTATTGTTAGATTTCCTCTCTCACCAGTCAGTGCAACATAACTCCCACCATGTGTGAAGTGTCCCACCGTCTGCAGGTACGTCCAGCCAGGCTCAGAAAACTGGGTAGTGTGGGCTTATAGGATTTTATGAATGATACTTTGTTAGTTGCATCACACATGTTCTATATGATCTTACATGATGCATATCAAATTAATGCATATATAGAGTGCATAAAAATACACAGGTGTTTGGATAATACCTGTTATCCAAATAGGGGACTCAACAACATAATTTCCACTCCATGGCGCCGTTGCAGTCATTAGTCCATCCCTTCCAAAGGGAAGGTCCTCATAATAACTAGCAAGGAGGTTCCAAGATATGGTCCTATAAGAGAACACAAACTATTGGTTTTCCAATTGTCAAATGTACTCTGTGAAATTAATGTATGATAAAAAGGGAAATGCTAAATGTCTTTATCAGAGTTGTCATACGCTGTCATTTTGCCATTGACGTAGTTCTGGTTGAGTATTCTGGCCCAGCAGCCTCCGCCAACGTTGTCATTAAAGGTACTGTAATCTTCAGAGGACCACAGTTTTTTCCCCGTCTTCAGGGCATTGGGCACAGTGTTGGTTCCAGGGTAATGAACCCTGTCAGTCAAACAATTCCAACAGCAAGATCTTACATCACCATTCTTCACATTTATTGACATGTCATGCTAGTGTATTTTATTTCCATTCATTCATCTTTAAAAATGGGAAGTGTATATTTTAATAAGTAATCATTCATTTTAAAAAAATGTATCATACCCTAAGACTTCAACAGCATCTTGTAACTCTCTGTCAGCAATCATAACAGAGGTGATCGGCTCCCAGAGGTTATCACTGGCAATGATTTTAACTCTCTCCAAACCACTTTTATCCAGTGTATATCGTAAAAGCTAGTAAACAAGGCAGAGAAAGTAATTTCTGACTTTTAAATGTCATTTCAATTTCATATGCAGTATATGTGTACCAATGTTAACAGATAATAATAAAACAGGCACCATGATTCCACCTTTCAAAAGTTTAGGGTCTGTCAGAGTCTCTTCTGCTCACCAAGGCTGCATTTATTTGATAAAATGCAGCAAAACAGTAATATTGTGAAATATTTGATTGTAAATCATTCAATCAATCAATTTTCAGCAGTTAGTATTCCAGTCTTCAGTGTCACATGATCCTACAGAAATCATTCTAATATGCTGATTTGGGGCTTAAGAAACATTTCTTATTATTATCAATGTTGAAAACAGTTGTTGTGCTTAATATAATTCTGATAATTTTGTGATTCTTCGATGAATAGAACATCCAAAAGTATAACATTTATGTGAAATACAAATTGTTGTAATATTGGAAAGTAGGTTTGAGTCTACAACTGTTATATTCAGATGAACTACATATAAATGTTCCCACAGAACTTGAACAGCAAACCTTGTTCAAATCTGCAGACAAGATTATATTAGCATAAACGAGCTATTGCTTAACCATGTCATTCTGAGGGGAAAAACAGAATAGGAACTTAGGAAGCCACAATGCAGGCACCTAAAAATATTAAATGTAAAAAAAAAAAGACTATTATGACATACCTTTATGTACTTACTGTTAAAATGTCTTTCATTCCATATCTGTAAAAAAAAAAAAAAAAAAAAAAAAAATCAGATTAGGAATATGGCCACAGAAAAAAAATATTAAATGTAATGGAATATATGAGATGCATTTACCCCGACATAATCAATATCCAAGTCATGGTACTGCTTGGCCCCACGAATCCATGACACCACATAAGAGGCAGTGATATCAGGGAAATCATAAGGCCAGTTTTCACCATTTCCAACCCATCCTGGAAAGGCCCATGGCAGACCTGTTGATAAAAAAAAAAATTAAAGGTAAAAACAAAACAAAATACAATTTGAGATTGATTGTGCATAAGCACTAGAAGTATTTGTGCATGGTTTCCCTTTTTAAACTAACGTTATATGTTTTTTTTTTTTTTTTTTTTACCTATGATGGTGATGTTTGGATTCCTCTTCTTAGCTTCCCTCATAAGCCACCATTCATATCCTCTAAAATAATTCTCATCGTCTTCATTGTGCATGTGTGAGGGCTCGGTTCCATCTGTAAATCATTACATTAAATATGTAATCTGAATATTGCAAACACACCTTCACTATTAGAGGTTTTAAAACTGAAACTGCTCCGTATGTAACTTACCTGTAGTCTGAGCATCGCCTCCAATTTCAACCTTCAGTATTTGTAATGAGGCTCCAAATTTAGGCTGTTAAATACACATTGACATGTCTTTAACGTAAATATCGACACAACATTACATCAAATGTAGCCTGATTAGATTCCTTTCTAAGCAAACACACCTTGAATAGGTAGTCTAGTATCTGACTCCGATATGGTTCAGCATAATTGACAAGTAAACGCGAGGTTGCCTGTAAGTTAAACACATCGGTGTTCACAGACGTTAGAGTTTTTTGTTAAGTTTCACTAACTAAGCACTTTAGAAGCTCGGAGAAAGGAAGCGCACGTAAGTAAAACACACTCACCCCACCACCGCTTAAACCACCAATGCCATCAAACGATCGTCCTAAACCAGTTTTATCATCTAAATCGTAGTCCTCGCCTAAACAAACACTGATACAGAGAAAAATACTAAAACACACAAAAAACTGATTTTCTACGTTCATTCTATCTCGTGCGTTCCTGCAACATAATCAGCTGACTTGCAGGTTCCGTGATAGGCGGTGCTGTGATGAGCCGAACCACGCCTATAACTACGCCTCTCTCAAGCGTCATTGGTCACAGTGGCTGTGCGTCATCTACAGGGCGTGGCTTGTCGCGGGGAAAACAAAATGAAATTATAATATATGTTAGATCTGCTTTTAGAAATAAGTCCATCTATATGCACATTTTCATGTCTCCATCATATGTTAATATTGGCCTATTAGATAACAATATAATACTCATTCTTTTTAAAGATGAAAAGATTGTAGTTTTTGAACACAGTAGTGCAACTTTTAGTGCAAATTAATTTGGGTCAATCTTAAATCGGCCTAATTTTGTTTGAAGAAATGTTTGTGGTATGTCTGCCATGTTTCCTAGTTCTCTGCACATTTCTAAGATGACAAACTGCCATTCATTAAGATATATTCCTTCAGTTTCTTCATTTTTCCGTTTGAAATAAATCACGTTTCTTACCGCCTTTTATCATAGTCGTCTCGTTTGCAATATCCCTTTAATTATTAAAAGACCGTCTTCCAGGAAGTGACATCATTTTGGTGGGAAAACAACAATCAACAATTTCAGCGTCTGTAAGTATTAGCGATGGATGGATTCCTGTGATGTTTTGTTTGTGGTATTAGTTGTTCTGTCACTGTAAAGCAGTCCTATTTGAAAATAAATATAGACATTATGCTAATAGTTATCAAAATGCCAAAAGATGAATGTTGAATAATGTTCTCTTTTTGAGGGTTTGTTGCTTTGTGGTTACATAGCCATGTGGATGATGACAGTAAAGTCATGCTGTTTCATGGTGAATGCTTCCTCTGGGTTCACACTTTTTTCATCAAAGTCGATCAGCATATGAACAGAACATGTAGCCTATACAATAATGCTTGATGTCAGATGATGGCATAACTGAATATTGGAATTCTGTAAAACTGTGGTCGATTTTGATGAAAAATATATGTACACGCAGGTTGAAGATTCACCTGTGGACTTCCTTCTTGTGACATGGTGTCTGTAGTAATATGTTTTTTTTTTCTGTATCATTGTGTAAGCCATTGGTAAAGGCATCATTATCTCTGGCATTGTGATGGAGCCATAGCTTGTGATGTGGTCATACCTCAATTTTTTGGAAACAATTTCAGTGTAGAGAAAAGCATGGTTTAAATTTAATATTCAGTTTCTTTCTGTCATAGTATCCAAACAGGACATGTCATCTTTCATAAACAATTTCATTTTTCATTCTATGTTTTCACTGCGAGTGAGATGCGAAAGGATTTCTCATCTATGGTATGAATTTTCTCAGATTTGTGGAGCTGCCAAGTCAGCTTTACAGACTACTTTATTTACAGCATTCTCTTGTGGAGGCTTATAATACAATTGGAAGCATACATTGATTACTTATATTTGATTTTTAAACTCCTACAATCTGTACCTCATTTATCAGTCTTCTCTGGGGGGAAGGAATAGCAAGGTCATCAGAGATAGGATTTTGGTTTATTGATTGATGGTTTGATATCTTAGAAATATGAGCTTCTATCTGATAACAATGTAGGGAGGAAAAAAAATAGCTGCACATAGTTTTATTAGATTAACCATTTTATCTTTTTTAGGTAGCAAAATGACAATAGCAATTGGATTTTGTTGTTGTTGTCTTAAAGCATGTAGTTGATTATAGATATTTATATAGTTCAATATTAAAATACTGTTTATGCTGCCTTCAGTTGTGTGAAAATGCCTTTTTTTTCTTTTAGATGTTTAACTATAGACTATATATGCGGGAATATTTATTCTTAAATGCATAATTTTGACCTTTTTATATGAATACAAATCATCTATAAAGTTAATCGAATGCAAGGTCTAACCACAAGGGGGCAGAAGTGACTCACAATTGATTTTGAAGTGACTCAAATTAGATTTTTTTTTTTTTCTTTCTTTTTTAGTAGGCCATTTACAATTACAAGCAATGTAGCTGAGATTACACAGACAGTGCCATGGGCTTCCTCCAACCTGCGTCTTCATTTTTATGATCAAGGATTGGCGTCAAGCTCCCTAATTACATCAGGGGTTCATTTAATTGCTCAGACAATGTTATCCTGCTGGGAATATCTGAAAGAAGAGGACAAAAACTTTTGTTGCATAAGCAAAGGGGAAGCTTAATTATACAGTGATGAGTTGGGAAGTACTTACAATGACTTTCATCAACAGTTAGAGAACAGGTGCTGTTAATTGTATGACACAAGGCCAAATTAATACACTTCAGAAATCAGAAATAATTGCAGTGGATTTTAGGTTCTAAATGGCTTTTTTAACGTGACCCCAAAATATCTGGACACCTAAAAGTGTAAATGCCATTACATTAGATAAAATCATAATTGATATATTCACATCAGCACAGATTCCGAGCAAAATAAATAAATACCAACAGAACAAAAACAAATTGTATTGGGGGAAAAAAGTATCACATGTATGCATTTGGTACTTGGCTTATCTAATACAGTGAAATACATACATTTTTGTTGTTTATTTACTTGTGGTAATTTCCCAGGACAACACTGAACCTCAGATTTGTTGGGTGTAAGATGACTATATTACTTCAGCATGTTGCCTTGGTGAGGAGGTTGTAGGGGGCGTCTGTTTATGTCTCATCTATTAGACATCGTGGTGCAAAAATAAAAAGCCTCTGCCGCGTAATTTTAGCAGCATGAAGGTGTACATGGCTCTTAAATCACCGCCGTGACCTCGCTTACATCCGTTCTTCACCTCTTTTTTTTTGTGTTTCATTTCTCCGTGCCCTTTTCAAATGTTAATGGCAACAGGGTTGCAGAAGAAAGCAGGTTATTCTTTATTCCAGAGAGAGTCGACTTGATCTCTTTGAGCATTTCAAGTCAGACATTGATGCATTATACAGTTGGTCAACAATTTATTGCCTGACCCTGTATGCAAGTAATGCGGGTATGCGAGAGAGAGAGAAGCAGTTTCTACTTGAAATATAAATAAATGTTTTAATGTCAGCCTGACATCTTTTCTTTGCTCACACTGGCACTTATAGGCCTATTTGTCTTTTTTTTTTTTTTTTGCTTATGTGGTTAATGTATTCTTGGCACATTTTCCCCTTCAGGTCGTCACCTTTCTGTACACCTACATGAATACTTTGAAAGGCCGACCCTTATCTCCTTTTTGACTGTGTGGAGCTCAATTGAATGTGGACAATAGCAAAAGGACTTTGTATAGAGATGTAATAGAAATACCTTCCCATATTTGTATCATATGTACATGTGTAATCTATCTGACATGGTGTGAAATTGCACTATATTGAGCATTGAGAGACAATAGGAAGTGCATAGGTGTCTACACAAGAGCCTATGACTTGGTTCAGAGATCTGGTCATGTCCCTCTTGTTTCCCTATAGCATAGGATGTGACTGGAATTAAGAATGGATTATAGAGGTATGATATTTGCCACCTGGATTATTTAAGCACTGGAATGCTTGATCTTGATTGGTCAGTGGTATTCAGAGGTCAGACATTTCCTAATATTTCCTGTCTCCCATGACAACGCTGTGTCCTTATTTTTAATGCAAGTGTGAACGTGGCCATTTGGTAAATCGAATGTGTCTGCTTCCGTTGTCATCCACCTCCAGTTCATTTTTCAGTTGCTGCTTGATTGCAAACTGGTATTTCTTCTTTTAATGTATTGTTGTAATTAGAAACCCACTGGTTTGTAGCGCAAACAATTTTACAATTTACTGCACTTTGTTATTCTTCTTTATTTAGTTGCTAATGAATTGGAAGTCTCGAAGTTGTACAAAAAATAGATTACTTTCGCCGTTGCAAATTGAGGTGGATGAATCATGGTGCGTTCAATTCCTAATGGAAAGTTGATATTTACGAGTTGGGAAGTCGTAATTACGATGTCAGGTGTGTTCAAGTCACTTTGAATGGAGCAAGATGGCAATGTACCTTCAGCAAGATTTTTTTTAATCTACTTCTACATAATGATCAATAGGCCTAAAGACATTTTTTTTTGTTGCATTTTTATGTTTTTGTTCAATTTATGAAGGTTACATATTCTATTGGGATTACAGTGCTGTTGTATTTTGCAATTTAGCTAGTTTTACTGTTAAAAAAAAACCCAAAACAACAAATTTACAGTAAAAACAAACGCTGCATGTGTGCACCATATTTTTTTACTAACACGCCCCTAACTCTGAAAATCAGGGCTTAAAGAAAGTTCAGATTTCCCCACTCATTATTTCAACTTTGTGTTTTCAACTCGTAAATCGATCTTTAACCCGCCAGTCAATCAGGTAACTGAAAAGGGCACTACTTTCATGACTCTGTATTATAATCAGTACAGGTAAGACTATAAAATAATGTCCACTCAAATCAATATTTCATGTCCATGTATTTCTTTATTTGTTGAGAAGAAGCCATGTAATAAGCTGGATAACAGAATGTCTGCCAGCCATTTTCATTAAATAAACCCTGACAGGGTAGCAGAGGAATATGCTACATTTATCCAAACATGTAATAGCATGCACACACACCCGGCTATATTCGGATGTTCTTCTGTTTCATGTTTATGCCTTAAAGCTTATAAGCAGAATGGGGGAGATGGCAGATATGCGATTCCTCAGACATATCCCAACCTTCTTTACATTATTGGTTCAAATGGTTACAGCGATAATCTTCTTATACCACGACAGTGAATCCATGTTTGCGAAAACAGTTCAATGTCCTGAAATGAATGAATCCGCTCCATTGCCTTCCAGAAGCAATCACTTAAAGCGAAGGCCATGTATTTCATTGGTCGGGCTGCAGAAAACACAAAGACTGCAAAAAAGGTCATTCATCTTGATTAAATATACATTGGCAGCAGGTCAGGGCTGCAGAAGGGATTCAGATTTAAACTGCACTGCTTCAGAAATTAATTTGATAGCTTCTAGTGTTTATGTGAGTTTTTGTGTTTGGGTGTGTACATGTGTGCAGCTGTTGTGTGTGCGTGTTTATATATTTCA